CGAGGCGCCCCCAAGTCAGCGGCTGCTGAAACTGACCAGTGCTGACTACAGGAAGCCCGAGGCAGAGTTGCTCTGCCCCGGGCTTCCTGGAATAGCCGCTGATCAGTTTCAGCAGCAGCTGACTTGGGGACGCCTGAGGTTCTTAAGTTGAATCTGTATGTAAGAACTGGCGTCCAGATTCAGCCTGTTGAAACTGATCAGCGGCTGATTCCAGGAAGCCTGGGGCAGAGCAACTCTGCCTCGGGCTTCCTGAAGTCAGCCGCTGGTCAGTTTCAGCAGTGGCTGAATCTGGATGCCAGTTCCGACTTAAGAACAAACCTACAGTCCCTATCTTGTACGTAACCCGGGGACTGCCTGTATTGTAAAATTAACACACAAGTGCATCTCAGTGACATTCAATACTGAAAGAGACAAGAGAAGCTTGAAGCAATATGGATGATAATTGATCCCACCTCACACCTTGCTTTACCAAGGCTTATAACAAGTTCCAGTTTCACCCATAATTCTGCCATTGACAGAACAGAAATGTGGATTTCGTTTTCTGATAACCAAAATTACTGTTCTGCATATGTCTTTCAAACCAGTCAGTAGTGGTCTTTTTAAATCAGCAGGCCATCATACCTGTAGCTAGCTACATTCTGTAGCTAAGAATTTGCTTCTAATAAGCATCTTGACTAAGCTCTCCTTCTATTCACAAGCTCTTGGTGACAGATGTACTGCAGGGTAAGTTGAGACAGACATTCGCCAGACCTGCAAACTTCTCAGGGGGGTTGGCTCTTCAACTCAGCCAGTCATCTGGATTTTTCTTCTCCTTCTATGTCCAAATAGCTGTTAGTAACACGAGGCTGCTATTGTGACTCCCATCTTAGCTTCTGCAGTGATTCTCTTGTACACACTGCTGTATTCTGCTAGGCCTCAGGTCACTATCCCCATGTGCATCAGGTTAGTAGTCAGGAGCCAGGATGATTTTAGAAGAGCACAGTAAACTTGCTTCACCACATTGACCCACTGCTCCTGCATCTGTCCCTTTGCTACCTTCAGATTCCACATGTGCCAGCCTGACAGCAACAAAGCTTCCTGGTGGCCAGTGCTCATCAAAAGATAATATGGAAGCCTCCTGAGACCGTGGGGCCCAGATTTTGATGCAAGTCCACCCCTGATTTTGGGCAACTTTGTATAGCTGAATAAATTAGCTTAGTTGAAATGTTTGATAGCATTAATGACAAATCATGTAAATTTTTTATTTGGGAACGAGCAGCTGTTTCTAAACACAACTCGCATACAACACATGAGTTTTCAGAAGTTATGAGTGCCCACATCTCCAGTTGAGGTCAGTGGAAGCTGCAGATGAAAATCAACAAATCAGCTTCATTGTGTTGCAGTTCTGCTGTACATCTGTTGTCCTGTCCAGCCACTTTTACATTTAAACAGCATATTGCAGCTCAGTGTTAAGTGTGCATAATGAAGGATGAGTGTGGTACAAAAATGAAAACTCTTGCACAGAATGCTTAAGTTCACTAGGTTTGAAGTTCTATTAGAGGAATTAACTTAAAATCAGACAATGGAGGATCTGAGCTTTGGGGGCTCACCTGATTGTACCATAGTTTGGTCCTGTCTGCGCAGATAAAACCATACTCTTTTATAACGTTATTCTATAGGGTAGTAATTTTGCTGGTATAGACTGGTTCACCTCAGTCCTTCTGCTCTCAAGCACTCTGGGGAGGAGAGCACCTTGGTTGCAGTCCCCCAGTCACGTAAACATCATCACTGACTAGCTGTAGGCATGTCAGGTTCTCTTTGCTAACAGGAAAAGTCACTGAAGGGGCAGTGTATATTTTTATTTTTGGATGTCAATGTCTCTAGTTACATTTCTTTTATTCTGTTATAGTGCAGCTGTAAACACATATTAATGTGTCTTCTAGGATTGGGAGCAAGCGGTTTAATTACTTAAAATCCTGAGAGATATAATCCCCTGTTGATTCTGTGTAAGCAAACATGCAGAAAAGCTGTCATACTCTTTTGTAGATTCTGAGCTAATGTTCCTTTTTCATGATGTAGTAAAACACAGCAGGAACTCAGTGTACATCATCAGCACTGTTTTTGACATGCATATAATATTCACATCATTTTTAACCTGTGGGTGCTTGAAGTCTGCATTTCCTGACAAAAAGTACTATATTTACTGTCCCACTGCTACTAAAGTAGCATTGAGTAACGGGAGATCTTGACTGTTGCACTGAAGAATAATGTTTATGGTTTGGTCCACTTGGCAGACTTCTGTTCTCACATACACGTTTTATAGAATTAGATTTAACCTCAGGCAGAACGGGTCTGTTTAACAGAACTGAGTATCCAGACTTTATTGGCATAGTTGTTTTAAATTGTTCATTAAGGATGGTTTTGTAATAATGCCAGATACTGAAGTATTTTTTGCCATTTAACTGAATTATTCTAAAACAATTCAGTTAATTCTCAGGGTCATTCAACAAACCAGAGTTTTGAGATCAAGTTAGGTGGCACTGAGCTCAGTCACTTAAGATCTTCCTAATGCACAATGTAATAGATTTCTCTCATCCATGTCACACCGGCACACGTTATTCTAGCATTCCACCTCATCTCAGCAAGGGTTTTGGAGTGGATTGGGATAGAAGCAGAAGAGGAACTGATTGCTAAAGGACTATAATTTTGTAAAACACACAGACTGCTTATATTGGCTTCTGCACTCCCCCCCCAAAAAAAAATTACAGATAGGTAGATTAAATTGCCATCTGTGTAACTTTAATCTATGTTTCTTACACTGTCCACTATTTCCTCCCTCTTCACCAATAAAACAGAGGTCTTATCTCTTTTTAGAAATTAATCGAAAAATGAGGAAAAGCCATACATAGTGTTAAAACGGGCAGTTCTGAACTAGTAAGGAATATTAGTAGGCAGTAACAAATGCATGTTCAGAAAGACATCTGGAAGGCTATCAAAGCAAAACTTGTTTAAACTTGTTCAAAATCAAACCACTTAAATGTATGCATTTCACTGCTGAATATAGATAAAATATTAGGCTTTGAAATTATAATAAAAACATTTTTAACTGAAAAAATACAACATTGAAACTACATTTAACTTCAGAGATTGAAATAATCAAATTGGCAAACTAATCTGTCTGAAAATACATTATTTACTAGAGATAATTTCAGTACTGTTCAAAGATATTTGAAAATGAAATGTAATAGATGCTTGATCTGTATATTGTTTATATCAAAATAGTATTGTCATGCTAGTATACCTTATGTTTTATTTTATTATAGTTGTGCAGGTTGAAGATAGTTAAGCATGCAGAATACATAACTGGCAGTTGTTAATTGCTTTTATAAAGAGGGAAAATAGTCATTTCTCATGAATTAGCTAATTATAATCTGGGCTGGTCAAAATGGCATCTAAAAACCGTTTGGGGGTCATAGGATGCTGCTGTTTATATATTTTTAAGGTCTTTTGTTGTGGAGAGTGCTGGTTCACAGAGTTAGGAGGCACCTTTAAATCCCAGATAAGTCATTTTGTTCTGTTACGCCTTTATCCCATACTGCATATTTTAAAAAATCATCATCTTCCAAAATACTCCTAAAAACTTGTACAGCGTAGCTGAGCATTTTAGACAATGAAAGCCTGATTTGCCAGATATTTAAACTTGTGGCTGTCTTGAAACATGTTAAACTAGAACCTAACGTTCCAGATCTGCTCTGTTGCTTCCGTAGATTTCCACCTGAGTTCCTCTGAGCATTATTTGGACCTACGCTAGAATATACTCTTCTCAAGTAATACAGGAAATTTGATGCAGGTTTCATGATATGTGTACATTTGTGGGAAAAATTAATATTTTTGTGACTACATAAAATTGACTTTCACAGTTCTGGAATACTAAAGATTATATGCATACTCTGTCGTCTTAACAGTTTTCAACCTAAGTGCCACAATAAAATATATTCTGTAGCAAACTATCAAATTTTGTAAATTAGGTTTTCTGAATTTTGCAGTTCACTTTCTAAGTGTTGTTGGTTTGTATTATTTCTCTCTTGATTGTTTCCAAATGATACTTTAATACTGTTTACATTAGTATTGTTCAGAATGACTAGTGCTGAAATTTAGCAAAAGAGGTACATAAATAATCAGTGCATGATGACTGTGGTGAATGGGAGAATGGTACCAAAACAGGGTCACTTGATGTTGTATTCTTTTTATTAAAATCCAGATATGAAATGTGTATCCACATTATAAACAATTATTTGTATTTCTTTTGTTGACTGTTTCATTTCTATTTTTCTTTCCAGAATGATTTAAGTTAAATTGTGGATATTTTTACTTCTATTGATGTGTATTATGTACTGTATTTTTAGACATTTTATTTTTTAAATAAAAATAAAAAAAAAATCCATCACCTTCCTCCTCTGGCCATCATTTAAAAATCAGATTAGAGTTGAAATTACTGCATTAGTTAATTTTCTGTAAATACCTTGCTAATATTTTCTCAGTCTTTTTCAGATTTGTATCATATTTGCGTGCTTTAATAATTCTGCATCTAAAACATGTTTTTATGTTGGTATGATCAAAAATGAACAAGAGTAGCAAAAGTTTGAGGTATTCTAGTATCTT